GTCAGGTCAGGATCCGGGTCAAGCCCAGCGTCGGTCTCCCTGCTCAGTGGGAAGCCTGCTTCTCCCCCTCCTTCTGCCTGCTGCTGCAACCCCCTTCCCGCTCATGCTCGCTTGCTCTCAAATAAATAAATAAATACTTAAATTAATATATACATTTTTTTGCTGAGGTATAATTGTCATACAAAATATTAGTTTCAGGTATACTACATAATGATTCAATATTTATATATATATTTAAGGTTTTGATTTCGAAAATATGAATATCCTTTTTTCCATCACATGAATACACTGGTATTAGTATATTCTAGATACCAGGGTATGTTTTCTTTTTCTTTTTTTTCCCTCCCCTTCTCCAGTTGGCCAGATCACAGTTCTAATATTTATTGATCTTTGGCTGAGGAGGACAATTTCTTTGAAGGAAAGTGTTTAGTGTTCTGGTGGAAGTTGCATCCTTTGGAGTGAAATAAACAACAAAATGTTCTTAATTCAATGAATTTTAAGAAATACTTTATTCCTTTAAAGGAAACAAAGAAGTAGGGAACCTGGATTTAGTTCAATTTATTTTATTTTATTATTTTATTTTTAATTGAATTTTATGTATTTTTATTTTTAATTTTAAAAAGTTTTAATATTATTTGAGAGAGAGAGAGAGAGAGAGAGAGAGAGAATACAAGCGGGGAGAGGGGCAGAGAAGCAGAGTCCTCACTGGGCAGGGAGCCTGATGTGGGGCTCAATCCCAGGACCCTGGGATCATGACCTGATGCCCAACCGACTGAGCCAACCAGGCGTCCCTTTAAAAGATTTTTATTTTTTTTAAAGATGTTATTTATTTTGACAGAGAGACAGCAAGAGAGGGAAACACAAGCGGGGGAGTGGGAGAGGGAGAAGTAGGCCCCCCGCTGAGCAGGGAGCCCAATGCGGGACTCAATCCCAGGACCCTGGGACCATGGCCTGAGCCAAAGGCAGACACTTAACCGACTGAGCCACTCAGGTGACCCCAAAATTTTTTAATTTTTAATTTTTTTAAGTAGACTCCACACCCAGTGTGGAGCCCAACTTGAACTCATGAGCCTGAGATTAAGATCTGAACTGAGATCAAGAGGCAGGTGCTAAGCCTACTGAGCCACCGAGGTGCCCCTTTATTTAATTTTTTTTAAATTTTTTATTTCTTAAAGATTTTATTTTTAAGTAACCTCTGTACCCAACATGGGGCTCAAACTTACAACCCTGAGATCAGGAGTCACATGCTCTACTGACTGAGCCACCCAGGCACCCGTACTTCAATTTATTTTTTAAAAAGAAGTTGAGTTTTCGGGCCAACTGGGTGGCTCAGTCGTAAAGTGTCTGCCTTTGGCTCAGGTCATGATCCCAGGGTCCTGGGATCGAGCCCCACATCAGGTTCCCTGCTCAGCAGGAAGCCTGCTTCTCCCTCTCCCACTCCCCCTGCTTGCGTTCCCTCTCTCACTGTGTCTCTCTGTCAAATAAATAAATAAAATCTTAAAAAAAAAAAAAGTTGAGTTTTCTAGAGAATATCATATTAGCAAACATTTGGTTCCTATCTACTTTTTGAAACATTACCACTATAAGCTATTATTCAGGTGTTCCACAGTGGTGTTCTTTATGATGGGATTTATCATTAATCACAAATGAATAAATTGAGAGGTGTTTTTGTTTTGTTTGTTTTTGTTTTGTTTTTTTAAGCAGTCTCTTCCTGTATTATATATTCTGTGTCTTTTCCCAGTAGGAGTTTTCCTTCGTCTGGAGCCTCTTTAATAATGGAAAGAAATTAATGCTTGGCCCAGACAATAATGTCATCTTCAGATTGTTTTTTCTTTGGGTTTTTTTGTTGTTGTTGTCATATATATATTTTATAAGTAAGCTCTATGCCCAAGGTGGGGCCTCAGTTCATGACCCGAGATCAAGAGTCATATGCTCCACTGACTAAGCCAGCACAGCACCCCTATGTTTTTTTTAATTGAAATATGATTAACATACAGTGTTATTAGTTTCAGGTGTACATGATTCAGCAGTTCTGTACAGTACTCAGTGCTCACCACAATAAGAGTAGTTCCCCTCTGTCACCAAACAATGTTATTATAATACCTTCAGATTATTTTTAAAGCCAGACTGTTTATTTTCTTTGATGAGTTACTTCTGAGTGGACTAATTATAAATGTGACAGCCATTTCGATGCCACTTTCTCTGGAGTTCTTGGTCTCCTTCAAAGCTTGGCGTTGTTGTATGCAGAACGAAAGATGTTGGCTGGCAAGCCTGGGAAGACTTCATTAAAAGGAAACAAATTTCTAAGGAAAGCTACTTCAGGGGTTTTATTCATTCATAACGGAACTCAAATATACATAAGTTTTCGAAGCACTTAGTGTAAAAGGTTATTTTCCAGACCTTTTACTTATATATATATTTTTAACAAGGTCTTGATGACTCCCTTTCCAACCTAAAAATCCTCTTAGAGTTCTTTTAGTGAAGGAAATGACTTGATCACTGTCCAGTTGATCTATCTTTGATGTTATTTCTTTAAGGAGAAGTCCCAACTTGGGCCCTGAATACTGATTTACCAGAATGAATAGTTAAATTAAAAATTGGAAGCTAGAGCTAGTTCTCTCACTTTAACACCCCCCTCTCGCCCCAGCCAAATTATTAAAGAGGAGATTGTACATGTTCTCAAGTGGCAGTGCAAAAATCTCACACCCTGGGCCAACCAATGTGAAAACAACTGCTGTAGCACAAAGTGTCCTTCCTCTTCTTCAGCTGAAATTGGGGGAGGGACAAACCAATTGTTACTTTACCCCTTCCCATCTGCCTGCTAGAAGGCCTATATCCTACCCTAATGGTTTCTGGCTAACAAATGGTGTTTCTTTTTTACAGCATTATGATCCTGGACTTGTTGTGGTGATGGTAAACTTAGCAGTGGTAATTTTTTATTTTCAGACTGAATTACTCCTTTTGTCATCAGTGCACCAATATGTTAGGCTTACTTTCTCTGTTGTAGCCTTCATCCTTCTGCTTGGTCTTTTTCATTTTCCTTTCCTTTCCTTATGCAACTTGTCTGATCCTTGTTCATTAAAGGGTACTGTTAAGAAGGGATGTATCTGTTTGTGTTAGAACTGCCAAAAAAAAATCAGTTAAAATATTAAATTCTAATACTGTCAAAAACTTGATTTTCCCACAATGTAATGGGCACTAGCACTTGCTACTGCAATTTATAAATAAATTAAAACAAACTTTGACTGCCTTAGAAGGCAAAAGTACTAATGCAGAGTTTATAAACAGGGGTTTACAGAGGTAATGAATTTGTACCAAAACTTTCTTGATTCTTGCAAAACAAATTCTGACAGACCAAAAAAGAAACCAAAACCAAAAAAAGTAAATTCCTTTGACATTTCTTTTCAATTCTTTCATTGGAGCATTAATGTATTTTACCAGTAAATCCCTGATTGAGACGTTATGAAAGTGATATTGCACCTAGGAAGTCATTTTTATAACCTGTCTTTAATTTGGTCCTTTTGCTAAAGATTGCAGTCACTGCTTATTTATTATACCATTGGGCATAAGGTAGTATGCATTTTCATTTTGTTTAACTGGCAGTCTTTGATAGTTTCTAAAAGAAGGCTGTATTTTAGAACTTTTTTCCTTTTTTTCCCCTGGCATAAAAGTATCTTTATTAACTTAAACTTTCACTGTGATAATTATTTCTAATTATCTCCTTATTTATTGTTTGAAAACTATAATGGGATACTGGTGATAAGTAAACTTCTGAATTTGTTTTTCATTATGTTTTAAAGATAAAAATTAAATATATATATATATATATGGAGCAACTGGATATAAGTGGTGCCAGTCACTTTGAAAACAGTTTCTTCTTTTTTCTCCAGGACCAAGCCTAGTCATGAATATGGCATTTATTTTTTTCTGATTGGTTTTGGTAATACCTCAGATTTAGCCTGACAAAACTCAACTTTTAGCCCAAAGGTATAATACATATGTGTGTATAACAACAACAACAACAGAAACACAAAAAAACAAACAAAAAACAATTGTTTACACCAGCCTGAGTGAAATGATGAGGGAAGTAAACATTGTGTTTTTTCACTAAAGGTGTACAACGGATAAGGTAAGTCAGTCCTCTTTTCAGTGGGCTTACATCACAATAAACAGCGCAAGTTGTGATGTAAAACAGCTGTGGTAGTAAAGTGCTTGTCTGCCCCATTTTGCTTTGTTTGGCTGGTTATGAGTGGATTAAATATACATTTTTAAAAATCTCCAGCATAGATTGATTAGTTTAAAGTCAATTTTCTTCGCAACTAGTCCTTTTCACAGCTTACCGATTGCCACAGCCAGTGTTAAATCCACTCTGGAAAATGAGACCTCAGAGCACCAGTTTAAAAGTAAAACAATTTTTTGTCCCTAAGGGCAACTAACTGTTGCTTTTTATTTAAATTTTGTTGCAGCCCCAGTTAATTGTTGAAAACAAAAAAATATTAAACATGCTGAATTGCAATTACAGAGTTTTCCTGTATCATGTTTGAAACCGTGCCTTTTTTTTTTTTTTTAAGTTTAAGCATGTCAGTTGAGATATTTATTACTAGTTTTAAAAGTGTGTGTGGGAGGATGTCAGTGGACTGTAAGAGTGAAATGATTCTTGATGGAAAGTTATTTGGGGATCATTTTAAAAAGCAATTTCTAAAGTTTTTGATTTTAAATCTCCTGGTGCCATTGCTTAGAAGTGCTTTGCATTACTTACTTAATTTTGTCATAGTAATCTGGAATTTTCCTCAACTGGAATGTCAACCAAGTGGTTAGTTGGGCTTAAACTGGGAGAGTTAGGTTTGGTTGTAAGCTGTGAGAATGGCTTGTGTTTGGTTCACTGTAGCTTTCTGGTCTCTGCACTCCAAGGCAAGATCTCTAACCACCCAAACCCAATGTATAAAGTGAACTGTTGGCTTAGCTTTGCCTCTTACCTTGATAATGTGTTCCTGTTACAGGGAGAACAGATCCCATTCCGATTGTCGTCAAGTATGATGTCATGGGCATGGGTCGCATGGAAATGGAGGTAAATTGATCTTGTTAGCTAATTTTTTTAAAATGGTGTATTTAAAATTGGTATTCCAAATTCAGATGCCAGTACAGGAATACACTTATTAGATAGAATGTAGTTTTAGTATTTTTCTTTGGAAATTTAAAAATATATTTTACATTCTCATTTAGTGCTGGCTTTGAGGCAGGTAGGTGATAGATAATGCCCCTGTTTTTTTTGTTTTTGTTTTTAAAGATTTTATTTTTTTATTTGACAGAGAGAGACACAGCGAGATACAAGCAGGGGGAGTGGGAGAGGGAGAAGCCGGCTTCCCGCAGAGCGGGGAGCCCGAGGCAGGGCTCGATCCCAGGACCCTGAGATCATGACCTGAGCCGAAGGCAGACGCTTAACGATTGAGCCACCTAGGCGCCTGGTAATGCCCCTGTTTTAACAGGGGCATAAGGAAGTTGAATGTTTTGCCCAGGGTTATGCCACAAGGCAGGATCACACTTAAAACCCAGATCCTGGTGCTCATTTTATTAGGCAGGTTTGTTCAACTCTGAAAATAATTGCCGTGGTAGAAGCTTTGCCCCTGTGTGCAGCTGTTATCTGTGATACCTTCTTTTCATTGCCTAAAATATTTTCTCCATTTACTCCTAATTCTTTGGCATTGAACATTGTAGTAAAGTCTGTTATCATCAGAAAATGTGCCTGTTGGGAACCACCAGCATGGAAGGATTAATTAGTTATTTTGTACCTTTTTCTCTGTAGGGGAACAATAAAGTAAGAGGTAGCTGAGTATAATATGAAGTTTTTATTTTCATGCAATACTGTAGTTGTGCAGATGACTTTTTAATGGCTAATTGGGGTACTTTAGGAATTAAGACTAATTATATCTATTTTTATTAAGCTTGATTATGCTGAAGATGCTACCGAACGGCGCCGTGTCCTAGAAGTAGAAAAAGAAGACACAGAAGAATTGAGACAGAAGTATAAGGTACTTGAATGAAGCCATTTTTGCATGTTGGGTGCTCACACTGAAAGAGATACTCATTTTGGTGGAAAGGATCTCTGTTGATGATAGCATTTGTTTGATCTTTGGTGATGATTAGTAATTAGTAGTAGACCTCAGGTTTCTGTTCCTTTCCTGTATTGCTGTTGTAAAAACTATAGCGCTAAGACCCACTTCAGAAGTCTGTTGGAATGATTGCATTAGTCTCTGAAAACACAGTGCCTGGTACATAGTAGGGAGTAGTACCAGTAAAAATTGTTACTTAAGAGTCCTTTGGGGGCGCCTGGGTGGCTCAGTTGGTTAAGCGACTGCCTTCGGCTCAGGTCATGATCCTGGAGTCCTGGGATCGAGTCCCGCATCGGGCTCCCTGCTCAGCAGGGAGTCTGCTTCTCCCTCTGACCCTCTTCCCTCTCGTGCTCTCTATCTCTCATTCTCTCTCTCTAATAAATAAATAAAATCTTTAAAAAAAAAAAAAATTAAAAAAAAAAAAAAAGAGTCCTTTGGGAACTTGAACCTATTGACAAGACTTTTGTTTTTCAATGGCTAGAGTATTTTAAGAATAACAGATTGAGGGGCACCTCCGTGGCTCAGTCAGTTAAGTGACCGACTCTTGGCTTCAGCTCAGGTCATGATCTCAGGGTCATGAGATTGAGCCCCGTGTTGGTGTCCACATTAGTCATGGAGCCTGCTTAAGATTCTCTCTCTTCCTCTCCCTTTCCCCCTTGCTCTCTCTCTTAAAAAAAAGAGAGAGAGAGAACATCAGTGTTTTCCTTTTTAAGGGATTAGTTTAAACTGCAGAAAACTGCAGTTTAGACCATGTTATAAGTTAGCTTTCAAATAGACTGACCAGGGAAGATGCCTTTCAAGATGTACTGTGCCCAGTCTCTACTATAGCATAGGTAAATTTGAAAGTAAGAAATAGGCTTAATTAAGATTATCATATAGAAACTGATTTTGGTCAGGAACCTTAAAGTGGGAAGAGGGAAAAGGGATTTATTTTTAAAAATCTCTTTTACCATAAAAAATAGCTAATATAAAAATGATAGAACTATAAGAAATGTTACATCTACCACAATAGTGGGAGATTTTAATATATCTTTCAATAATTGATTTTAGAAGTAGAAGAAAAATTCAGCAAAGACATTTGGAAAATTTGAATAACACATTAACAGATTTCATCTACTGGTTATATAGAACTATGAATCCAATCACTTTGAAAATCAGAAATTTTGAACATATATGGAACATTTATTTATTTAAACAAAATTTTCTACCATAACCTGTGTCGTAAAGTATCAATAAATTTCGAAGAACTGAAATCAAGTTAAGCCACAAAGCAATCAGATTTTTACCTTTTTTTTTTTTTTTAAGATTTTATTTATTTATTTGACAGAGACAGCAAGAGAGGGAACACAGCAGGGGGAGTGGGAGAGGGAGAATCATGCTTCCCACTGAGCAGGGAGCCCAACATGGGGCTCCATCCCAGAATCCTGGGGTCATGACCTGAGCCGAAGGCAGACGCCTAACGACTGAGCTGCCCAGGCGCCCCAGCAATCAGTTTTTTAAAAAACTTACACATACCATACATACAATACTATACAATACAATAATCATACCATAAATAATCTGTGTAAAAGGAAAAAACATAGAGCTTATAGAAGATAGTATAGAGGATTCTCTCTTCTAGCTGTACCTAACTTACATTTACTTGTTTTTCATTTTAGTGATCTTTTCTTTCATGTTTTATTATGAAAATTGAGCATACAGAAAAATGGAAAGAACTGTATAGTTAATACCCATATACCAACCACCTATATTCCATAATTAACATTTGTAAATATATTTTATTACATGTCTAACATTTTTTTATTTTTATTTATTTTTTTAAAGATTTTATTTATTTATTTGACAGAGAGAGACACAGCGAGAGAGGGAACACAAGCAGGGGGCGTGGGAGAGAGAGAAGCAGGCCTCCCGCGGAGCAGGGAGCCCGATGTGGGGCTCGATCCCAGGACCCTGGGATCATGACCTGCGCCGAAGGCAGACGCTTAACGACTGAGCCACCCAGGCGCCCCTAACTTTTTTTTTTAAAGATTTATTTATCTGAGGGACACTTGGGTGGCTCAGTCAGTTAGGCATCTACCTTTGGCTCAGGTCATGATCCAGGGCCCTGGGATCGAGTCCCAAGTCGGGCTCCTTGCTCAGTGGGGGCCTGCTTCTCCCTCTGCTTGTGCTCTTTCTCCCTCTCTGACAAATAAATAAAATCTAAAAAAAAAAAAAAAGATTTATTTGTCAGAGAGAGTGGGGGGAGGGGCAGAGGGCAAGAATCTTGAAGTGGACTCTCAACTGAATGCAGAGAACGCGGGGCTCCATCCCACAACCCATAAGATCATGACCTGAGTTGAAACCTAAGAGTTGGACGCTTAAGACTTGTAACTGACTGAGGCACCCAGGTTCCATACATGTCTGACTCTTTTTAAAAACAACTTCACTGGCAGTGACTTTTTAAATTCTTGAAATATCTCTTTTATTCTATTTCTAATTTGTTTTTGGTTTTTGGTTTTTTAGTAATGTCTGGGTTTTGTCTTTGGGGTGCTATTTGTGCCTTTTCTTTTTTAAGATTTTATTTATTTATTTGAGAGAGAATGAGAGAGAGCACGAGAGGGAAGAGGGTCAGAGGGAGAAGCAGACTCCCTGCTGAGCAGGGAGCCCGATGTGGGACTCAATCCCCGGACTCCAGGATCATGACCTGAGCCAAAGGTAGTTGCTTAACCAACTGAGCCACCCAGGCGCCCTGTGCCTTTTTTTGTTTTTAAACATTGTAATGTTTTTATTTTATAATTTCTTTCAAATCTTATTTCTAGTACTTGATTATATATATATATTTTTTTTTAAGATTTTATTTATTTATTTATTTGACGGAGAGCGACACAGTGAGAGAGGGAACTTCCACAAGCAGGGGGAGTGGGAGAGGGAGAAGCAGGCCTCCTGCAGAGCAGGGAGCCTGACGTGGGGCTCGATCCCAGGACCCCGGGATCATGACCTGAGCGTAAGGCAGACACCCAACGACTGAGCCACCCAGGCATCCCGATTATATGTTTTATAGTTTGTTGCTTCTCCTGACGTTTTCACAGTATTTGTCTCCTTGTGTGGCTTGCAATTTTGATTGTCATCTTTTCATTCTGTGGAAGTTCCTTGTATCCTGGATTTTGGAGGGAGTTCTTATGAGATAGTTTCATATGTGCCTTTGCTGAAATCTAGGGTCTTTAACTGCTGTTGGACTGGTTTTAAAATGTTAATACCTAAACTAAGGGTTCCTGCTGTGAGTAGATGGTGTAAATCCTTTACATCCACCAATGACTGGTCTGAAGTTCCAGCCTCTTCTTATACATGACCCTTTCAATTTATACCCTGATAGATGATGAGTTTCTTGATGTCTTCGTGGACAGAAGGTAATGATAAAGTTCTGTTTTCTAGTTCCTGTTTCAAGGATGGAGACAACTCTTTTTTTTTTTTTAATTTATTTTTTAAGTAATCTCTACACCCAACTTGGGGCTCAAACTCACAACCCCGAGATCAAGAGTTGCGTGCTCTACCAACCAGTCGGTAGTCACTCTGTAGAGACAACTCTTCATATCTCTGAACTTTTCACAGGGAGAGCTTACTAGCTTTCTGTCATCAAGGTCCTGAAACCTCATCTTCAAGCACCTAGGGATTGCCCTGTCTTGTTGAGCTCAACTGCATATTAAAGTGTGTGTGTGTGTTTTATAAAGATTTTATTTATTTGAGAGAGAACACGAGCAAGGGGGAGAGGCAGAGGATGAGGGACAAGCTGACTCCCCACTGAGCAGGGAGCCTGACTCAGGGCTTGATCCCAGCAGCCCAGGATCAGCGGCCCTGTGTGTTTTATGTTATCCAGAATTATAATATAGTGAAATCTTCCTCTTCCTTCTCTTCCTTTTTTCTTTTCCTATTCTCTTCTCCCTGTCCTTTTCTTTATGCACTATTCAACCCATTTAGGCTGGCTTTAGCACTTATCGCTGAACCAATTTATTTAAGGCCACAAAACACCTCTGTTTGCTAAATCCATTAGATCTTTTAAAAATTTTATTCCATATTCTGTTTCTTGGCAGCATTGAATACAATTGACCATTCTTTTCTCTTTAAAACATTTTTTTTCTCTTGCTTTTGAAGATTTCATACTTTCCTGTATTCCTTCTTCTTATCTCCCTCGCTGCTTCTGTATAGGTTCCTTTGTTGGTCCCTTCTTTTCGGCCTAAACTCTAGATGTTGGAGTTATTCATGTTAGACATAGGCCTTCTTTTTCTGCCTAACACTGTCCTTAGGCCCTGAGTGGTTATGACACTATGTTTCATCATCTTTCACATGGTTCTTTTTTTTATCCTTTAGGACTTAGCTTAGGAACCTTCCCTCATCACCCAGTTTAAATAAATCCTCCACTCTGCCTCATTCTCTTGCAACACTGTCTTTTGTCATTTATAATTATAAATTTTTGTTCACTTGTTTATAGTCTGACTACTGTTTGGGCAGAAATGGCATTGAGGAGAGAGACTGTGTCTATTTGTCTGCCAGTATATATACTGTATCCAGCATAATGCCTGGCACATAAGTACTCAGTAAATATGAATTGAATAAATTCTTTGAAATAAGGGGAAGATCCAGATTTACTTGGTATACTGTCAGAAGTAGAAATATTCTAAAGTGGGGCGCAGAAATAGAAATATTCTAAAGTGGGGCACCTGGGTGGCTCAGTTGGTTAAGCATCTGACTTCAGCTCAAGTCATGATCCCAGAGTTTGGGGATCGAGCCCCACGTCAGGCTCACTGCTCAGTGGGGAGTCTGCTTCTCCCTCTCCCACTCCCTCTGCCCCTGCACCTGCTTGTGCTCTCTCTCTTTCTCTCAAGAAAATAAATAAAATCTTTTAAAAAAAAAATATTCTAGTGGCGCCTGGGTGGCTCAGTTGG